CCATACACAGATCAGGTTAAGGCTCCTCCAGTGTCACTTTTTGTATTTCGTCTCATTCAGAATGTTCACATTTTCCAAAAAACAGTAGAAACGGCTGGGACAATTTAGAAAGAGTGTGTCAATTGATGCCCAGAACATGAGGAAATGGAAGTCAAGGAATTCCAGCAAGGCCTGAAGTTTTTCATCAAGGACACTCAATACCATCTTAAAAAATTCTTTGGTCTATCTGGAATAATACACCAATGATTCTCATCTAATAATATYAGGGAAAGATTGTATTTTAGCAGAAATTCAGGAAGATATGAGACAAATACAGCATTAAGACTACAGACTTGGAATTCATGTCTCCTATCTCATATACTTGGCATCTCCTCATCCTTTTATCTTTAATATACTCCTTTAATTAARATGCTTGATCGTGAATGTAATGACTGCATAACAGTTGTTTTSGATTGATTTATCTCCTGATGACTGTGAAACTGYTGTTCAAAACCTCAAAAAGAGAATTTTCATTCAGGGACTTGAATGCAACTGCAAGCCCTCTCCCCSACCCAGTGGTTTTGGTACTGCAGCTGCCTGTTTTTGAGGCCAGTTCTCAGAGCCTCACGCCCTTTCCTGTTTGCTGAAAGCATACATGTGGTATACAGGTATATATGCGTACATGTGGTAGCCACATAATCACTAGTTGTAAAAACACAAGTAATTGTCTTATCTGCTCTTTTCCCCCTTTCTCCCAATTTGTACGTCACTTGTGGATCACACTTCCCTCTTCTAATATCTCAGCTGTCCCTCGAGAAAGATTTTTTAAAATTTGGAGTTTTAGACAGAAACACTGTTTTCATTCACCAGCATGTGAGGAAGCTTTGCTAAGAAAGCTAAACTCGATGGTTTTACTGTGAACTGAAAAATCATCCTATGTGATATGCAAGACACTGAATGACTGCACATTTCACATTAAAAAAAAAAAAAGATAAGATGCTAGGAACATAAGTGTAAAGTAGCCAAATATGAGCAAAATCCTAGTAATATTCTGAACTCATTTGAACTGCATAATTTTATATATATCTCAAGTTACCTACAAGTAGCCTAATGTATTCACATAGGCATATAAGGTTAAAACAACCTGAACAGTGAACTACAACCTGGCAAGCATAGTTTTATGTTGATATAAAATAYTTCAAGAAATAATTATCTTTTAAAAGCTTTTTTTGTGAAAAAACAAATAATACGAGAACTGATATATCATGAGACACTGCTACAGACCTTTTAGGACTGCTACTTTCAAAGCGAAGTATGCCAAGCACCTGAAAAACCTTCTCACAATCTCTAAGCAATGTCAGAGCACAGCAATTGAGAAACTGCCTTTCTAAGGGCTTGCCTAACGCAGATGGGGCAGCTGAGCAGCATGGCAACAGCAGAAATGACCACAAAGCAGCCTGTTTTTGAAAACCAAGGCAGCCTTTGGCACTCCTGACCAGGAGCAGGAGGCCTCAGAGTAAAGGACCGCTTAATTTCCTTACTTATTCACTAGTACTCCCAACTTCTTTACATGTTTTCTTCTTTAGCACATACCCCTAGCTTTTACAAGTGTCGTATTTTTAATGAAAATTTCACTCTATCAAATATTTTTCTTGCCTATACTCTTCTATTGGCTTTACACTGATGGGCAGTGAGCTCACTGACAACCTAACATATTCCCGGTTCACTCTAAAGCAAAGAAAGGCAAGCCCACTTACTCTCCTATCAGGAAAGTAGAAGGACAAAAGTGTCTCAAAATCAGCAGTGTGACACAGCAATATGACAGCTGATGATGCCAAAGCCGGACAGAGAAGAACGTTTATGACTCCAAATTCATGAAAGATCACATTTAATATTACACTTTTGTTGTTTAATTGTTAGATTAAATGAACAAGCATTTATGAAGCTCAGAAACAGCACCAATTTGTAAGGAATCATGAGCCCTTTGAAAGATGGGATCATAATTCCAATTTTTCTTGATAAAACTGAAAAAACAATCAAGATCAAATTCAGACTCAGACAAATTCACAACTCTACACACTGAATAAAATGCCTAGACACAAAAAAGAGGAATGTGCTAGAAAGTAGCTAGGTCCTCATCACGGACCACACACACATCCTGTGATGCTGCTGCAATAAATTCTCATGCACTTGGAGAATTCTGCGTGCCAGCAAGGGAGGCAACTGCGCTATCCTAAGGGATTATGGTCTCTGGATTCCCTATGAGCCCAAGAGGAGGGGCTCACGCTGACTACAGTGCATAGCTCTGAGAAAGATTTTACTTCAGAATAACTGCCTTCTAAAATATTTGATAAACATTCATTTAGGAGARTTGCCTGATAAGAGATCAAATGAAAATGTTAGCAAAGACTGTTTAGATACTTGTGAAAGGTCTAAGTTGGTCTTGAAACTTTCTGTAAACATTTAGTTATTTTAACAGGCTACCTGGCTATATTATGGACTCTTTTTTTTTTTTTTTTTAACCGAAAACTTCTTAAGAGCAGATCAAAAAGAAAATCCACCAAGAATTTTCTTAGAATATTTATTCCCCCTCAGTGCAGGAGAGAGAGCATGAAGTTCGGCATTAAATTTCTATTATTTTGCATTATTTATTAAACTACATCTCTTACACTTCCTACGCATGTTGCCTAAAGTGGACTGTACGGATACTGTTCTATCCTTAATCAGTGCTTGATTGTGGCCCACGAGTATAATTTGCCTTTAMATTGCTGTCAAACAATCTGCAGACGGTTGCTAAACATTACTGAACAGAAAGCTCAGCCCGGTGCAGCACGACAGCAGCTGGGAACAGCATGCAGAAAGATGCCAGGCAGGACCTTCTAGCCTACGCCTCCATAATGCCGCGTCGCACTGGCTGGTACAGCCACTGCTGGCCCATGAGCCATGTTATTACATCCCTCAACTTCTATGACTTAATTTGGCACCTTCAAGTCCCCAGCTATAATGTTTAGCTACTCAACATATGCTTGTGCATTTGTGGGAAGCTGTGATTTAAACAAATCAAAGCCAAATTGCACCCTGAGTGTGCTTATGGAGACAGAGCAGAGGTTTGGCCACACTAAAGAAATGACAGGAAAATCAGATTTTAAGGTCTCAGTTTTCTCAGAGCCCGTTTAGAACCAYGGAGAAGAACCTTCTGTAAGGGTTCTCTGCATTACGGCAAATATAAAGGTAGAGGAAAACACACATGTCCAACCAAGAACTTCAGCACCTGTGCATCTGTAAGATCAAGCCCCTGCGACACAAGGTCATGATCCAARAGGTATCAGGATTCATCGGACTCTTACTTAAGAGTCCTAAATCTTGTATTAACACAGGCAGCACTGGTGGCACTATATGAATGAACATCTGCTAATGGTCCTAATGCAGGAAGAGCACAGTGAGGACCGTTTGTACCACAAAACCCACAAATTTAGTTATCCAGAAAACCTGAAACTCATCTGYCAATTCAAATGCTGATTTCAGATCGCAATTCATGTAATAAAGTTAATTAAACAATGTTCCCTCTACAGAGATCCATTAGGCTTTTTTATTTTTCTGGATCTATTTAGAATTTCCATTTGCCTCCCACTCTCTGCTGATTTTAAAATTCCTTCGGCAAAGCTCAGCGAGTTTCTGACYTTATTACCAGTCAGATAAACAGCTGGCCATAACAGCAAAGCATACGCCAAATCCTTCCTATTAGCCTTAGCAACTGAAATACAGACACRAAGGGTAACAAATTCCTTTTAAAACTGAGTAAGCCCAACATCATTTCTACTCCCTAACATTACTGCAGGGTTCTGAGGATTTTCCTTTTTTTCTTTTTGTACTGTCGACTTCAAAGATTTTTCCCAAATAATACTGGAAAAACGTCATCTCGGGGAAAGTGGAATTATTCCAACAACTATTAATCTATCACTTATTCTAGATYTTCTTACAAATGCATGAAAAGAAATCTCTAAATAGACTAGACAGGAAAACAGGACAAATACAGCCTGAGTTTGCTCATCATATTTACAGCATGCTAACAACAAAAAACAATTTCAGAAGAGATGTTAGGATTAGATTGATTTCTGCCCCCACTTAGCTCATCATCATTTAAATCTTTCAGTTTTATTCTTATGGACAAATGCTTTTCTACACAAAACATGATTAAAACGAGCACCTCTCAATATTATTCATAACATTATTAACATAATAATTAACATAATTAACATATTAATAAACATATCTCTTATAATTTACAGATAATATTTCAAAATTCAGAAAATCAGACAGTTAAAAAAACAGTATCTTATGTGAGAATACTGGACCATGAACCTAAGCAATTTCTATCTACTTTCTTAAGTACAATTTGTATTCACAGTTTTACCCAGAATTCTTTCAGCAATGTGATCCTGAAATAGCTGAAAATACTATTTTGTCAATAATAACTCTCAATTCMGATTCTTCTTATTATGACAAATCGCTTTTCATCCCACTTAATTAGTTCATTAAGTAAAGCAATAATGAGCATCTTTAAAGAGAGCAGAATCTAATTTATGACTGATAAAATAATAATTACAGTTGTGGAAAGAATCTTGGAGACATAATTTACTCATTCTCAGAAGCATAATCTACATTTGAATGGACAAAAATACCTAGAAAAAGAAATGCAACCTATAAAGGAGAAGATTTGGATAAAATCATATGTATATTAGCTTTGCCTAACAGAAAGCTCCARTTAAGGCAATCATTTATGCCTGTATTTAACTGTAAGAATAAGGGAGAATGAGCTAAAGTCAAGATACAAATGCCTTAACCTCTTTGAGAGGTTGCATGGAATATAAAATACATTTTAACACCCTCACATCATGACAAAATCTACAAATATTTATTTCTAGTCAGGCATATTCTGCTGTGGAAGTACTGTCTTCCTTCGGGCAAAGCAGAGAGGAAGGTGAAGGCCTGGAGACACTGTCCAGGGAAAGATCTCTCACCTGAAACGTTCCCGCATGGTCTTCTTCYTTGTCCCCTTCTTTACCCTCCTTGAGGGCAATCAGCGTAAATCCTCGAAAGTAAGCGGGAGTGGCAGCAGAAAGTGTCACTGAAATACAAAACAGAAATAATTTAATTAATAAAAGAAACAATAGTGCTTGTGAAGTCAGCCATGCACAAGGCATTTCACAGCTCAGTTTGAAATGGGTCTTTGGAGCTGCTATTAACAAAAGCTTGAGGGCAAACATCATGGAGAAGAGCCAGCTGAACTCAGGAAAATTCAGCTCAAGTTTCTATGTAGACAGAAAAGCACTAGTAGAGTTTTAATGTGAATTATTCTGGCTATTTTCACCCAGATYTTTTTGGTTTGGTTTTGGAAAGGAGATTGCTCATCTGCTCAGCCCTGTGGGAATCTCTGACACGAAGGGACATCTCCCAAAATGTTCAGCTTCGGCACCACTCTTTGCTTATAACACATCTAGGCAGGTGCCTGACTCCTCTCCCACGTGCTCCGKCTGCACTGCGCACCCAGCCCGTACAGCATCAGCCTGGCCACCATCGTGCCACTCTGCCGGCCCTGGGGCAGGGCTGGCCACACAGTTTCTCTCGTGGCTAAAACCAGCCTCCGAARTTGTGCCACCGGCCGCGACTGCCAAAGCAGACGTCAGGCATGGGGGCCAGGCACTGCTCCAGCAGAAACATCCGCCCTTCTTCAGGCCTCTCCATGAAGCACCTTCTCTGCCCGGACCCACCAACAGACAGACCAAATGTGCCCCGTTTAGGCCAGGCAGGGGCACTGTTCTTGGCAAATACCCAAACACATGTAGGGTATGGCAGGCAGGTGAGCGAGTCCCACAGCTACAGTGATTTCCAGCACACTTCTCTATTCACTTGACAGAACCTGATAATACAGTCAAATCTCCTCATCTGGGAGGAAAAATAGTATTTTCACATTTACATAAACTTAGYAGAATAATAGGATTAAAATATCTAATTACTTTTCAAGTATTGCTCCAATTTATTAGTCCTTTATCTCCCCATTAATTCTTAACCCAATTTTGCAAACTTCTGCAGCTCTATCTAAATAAAAACCCCCAGCCAGCCCCTCGGTGGCAGTAATTGAGAATAGCACTTCTGAACTCACTGAGGATGAACTCATTACACTCTCGTCAAGATTGCKTCCTAGAAGCTAATTCCCATAAAAATCTGGTATAGGCAACAATTTTTCCATATATTACATGTAATTCAAAAGTCTGAATCACTTGGAATAAAATGTTATGCTAGGAGTACTTAGATGTTGATGCAAGCAGAAAAACCCAGCTATGAACTGACTCAACAGGTTTCCTTATTCTTCCCTTACGTGTATTTTATATTATTGTATACAACTTCAGAGCTCAAACCAAAGGAGTATCCTAAATYCTAAGCAAAACGCTTACCTACTAAGGAAGAGATGCCTGAAATGCCAAAAATTCATCAGCAAAAGGGGCGGACGAGCGCTCCAACTGCTGACTCACAGTTTATGAATGTCTGGGCTTAGCAACACTCGTGCTGCGGCTGCATAGTCGCTTGACCCCACAATAACTTCCCACACAGCACTAAGATAACACTGGGCTGAGCTGCTCGTTTGAGGAGCACAAACACAGTGTCTTGCTATGGTGGTGGCTCTGCAGTGGATGGGTCAAGTTCTTCCCCCTGCAGAGCAAGGAGGCTCAGTGCCACGAGAGTGGGAAACGGCCACGTTACAGCTGCACCTTCGCAAGAGACAGCAGCTCCTCTCTGCACTAGTCTCAAAGTTAAAGGTTTTCCTTTAAAAGGAGCCAGGCTCCCACTGGGATCTCGCAGCGATCACTGCTTGGTGTCCAGCAGGACGGCCGCCTTCCCACGGCCCGTGTCACACCTCAACCCACGTCACACAATGCGCACGTATCAACAGATGTGGCTGTGCTATCTCGTTGGTCAACAGCTTGTGCAATGCGAGAAGTGCTAAAACACACACAGAGTGAGCGTTTCTTTATGCACAATAGAAAAAGATGTTTGCATGTTTTCAGGAGGGAAGGAACAGAAAGAGGAAGAGTCAACATTACTCAAATAGAAGTTCTCAAACCAGGGTAAAAAAGTGTGCAACGTGGACTGARCTGCTCTGTCTTCAYCAGGATAACAATTTCTGGATACTAYGGAGGAAACTATTTGCATTTCACRCTGTCATGAGACACAGWCATGCTAATTAAGTTTCACAGTTCTCTCRTACAGTTTTAAGAGGACAAACCTACTCCATTTTTCATGGAAATCTCATGTAGGTAATCTCAACCTAGCCATGCAGGTCAAAGAAGGTAGAACTGACCACTGTCAAAGATCTTTATTCAGTAGCACTTTCTAAGTCTAATTCCATCTTCACCCTTGGGAAACAATGGAAAACAGCCTGGCATGGTCCATGTCAACCAGCAGCTACAAGGGGACCCGGACGCCAGCATGGCGGGACACGGTGCCTGGCACTGCCTGCACGGGGCTGCCCGTGCCCGTGGYGGTGCCTGGCATTGACCACAGAGGGCTACCTGTGGGGTGCCTGGCACTGCCCACACGGGGCCGCCCATGGCATCGCAGGGAGGGAAGGCCTCAGGCTGTGCTGCTTTTGCAGATGCCCAAGATAAGAGCAGTGCCCCTATTTACTGCTGCTGGTGCTGAGAGGAGGGGATATACACAACCATTCAGAAAGAGACTGGCCGGTGCTCAGGGCCCTTTTCTTTTCTGATGGCTCCAGGGAGGTGGGAGGCAATGCTCCCCTAGACCAGCTGCGTGGAAGGTCAGTTGTTGCAGGAAGGGCAGGAAAGCTTTCCAAAGGCCCAGGGCAGCAGCGACCTGGGTCTTCCGATTCCCACGCTTCAGGAGGGCTGCAGGGCTTCCTTGGGGTCCTGCACGATGCCACATCGGCCAGACAGCCACAGGCGTAAATGGAGGCATCCATAACGTCAACTGCAYGGGGCCCTGGTCTTGTTTGTGGAGCTAACTCCTGGGCCATACACCTGGCATAAAACCTACTTTATTCCAGAAGCCTGCCGCGGAGCGTGCCACAGACCCAGACAGCATTAAACCAGATGAGGGGGGGGACTATGGGAACGGGTATATTTGGCTCCAAATCAGTGCAGGCTCTGAGAATCTTCTGCAGTGTTGTACAAGACTTAAAAAACACAACAAAAATCAGAAAGGGTTGCCCTATTCCCACAGTTTTTTATTTATTATTTTTTTTTCTCTACTTCTATGTAAAATAGAGGTATAGTTCTGGTTATTCCATGGAATTTCCTTTCAAAATGAACTCTTAAAACTTACTGTAATACCATTAATTAATGCCATGAACAACATATTTGTTATGGGAGCTTTTACCCATGTTCTTTCTACCACCAGAAAGAATCCTTAAAGAACCGCTTAGTAAAAGCATCAGGGCCACCTGAACACTTTCATCCTAAATACAAAATCCCTGGTATTTTGGTCTATCTTTTAATTTTTTTACTATTACCTGTAATAAAACATTCTCATTTCTAAGCAGCTACGGTATACTAATATGATAATTCTATTAATTGAGCTCTGAATACCATGACTAAATATAGCTGTAAAATTTGCTGTGCTAATTTAACTGGGAGTTTCTTTCCCCACTACACATCCACCTAATAGAAACTTCAACTTGTAGATGCCTGAAAATCTCCTGTAAGTCTTCTGGAGAGAAGCCATGAAACTCTCTCAGGGCAATTCCCATGTTCATCCCTGTCTAAGAACTCAACACTTGCCTCTGTCCTATCTGGACCACTTACCAAGTGACACGCAACTTGAAGCCTTTCAGACTTAATGATTTTCATGTCTAGAACAGCTGACATTTGTAGAAAATGAATATTTCCTCACACCATATTAAAATACACTAATTATTGAGAGATAATTTTAATAAAAAACACATGAAGTTATATCCTAATGCTCAAAAGACTTTTTGAGCAGAATTTTAAAAATCTTTAAGATAATAGTATCATTACTTTAAGCACACTTCTCTCCCATCTATACCAGAATTTCCATGCTCGTATAAAGACAGATTCTACTGAATCTAATAAAGGTCAGGACAAATATTTACAAGAAAAGCTCTCCACATGCTTTTCCCCATGGACAGTTTCTCCAGGACACTATTCATTTTGCTTAAAAACCCAAATATTTTATCATTAGATCATTTTACAGACTGTACCCCATTTCTTTCCAAAGTATTTAGAAAATACAAAGTTAACAGCATATTCCAGGAAGGTTTACTTTGAAAAAAAGTATTATCTGCTGAGGCAGATACTAACTAGAAAAATAGGCTGAAATGTGCTCTGGAAGTTGAAGCTGATTTCAAGGACTCTATATGAAAAGCTCAGTGGAGAATGAAGCCTCCATCTCTTATTTACAGTGGTCATTAGCACTGTCTCTGCCTCTTCCCTGTTTGCACCATCTGTTCATTCTCCCAGAAAAAAAAAAAGAAGGGGAAAAAAAGGAGGGATAGGGAATAAACATAAGCGGAAAGTGTGGGAAGTTGGCAGCCTCCCACATCACTGTTTGCCCATATGCTCACTCATTATATTAGCATTCACATTTCAGGGCAAGAACAACTACCTCCGAGTTTCCGCTCCTCTCCACTGGATGTTAAGGCTTGCAGCCACCACACTGTACTTAGCAGGGTAGGGAAAAACCCCACGGGGGCAGGTGAGCAGGAGAAGAGCGCATTTCTTGTGCCACACCAACTTGCCATCCTGCACGAGAATCTACTACAGGCAGAGGCATAAAGCTGCTATTTGGGAGCAAAGTGATCCTGGGTAACGCAACTCCCCCTCGTTTGCCACGAGAGCATCCCCAGTGCAGTCACGCGTGGGGACGGGCTGCCTGCTGCAGCCCATGGCGTCCTTGGCGCGCACAGCCCGCAGGAGGCACACGGAGAGGACAGGCAGCGCAGCTTCGGAGTTTCAGCGACACTTGTTCTGCCGCTATTCTTATTTTCAGAAGCAGAGAGCAGCCCACTTACCCCGATAGCTGTTCCCAGGCTTGTAAAATTCAGGGTCGCCTTCCACTCGGAGGCTGAATTCGTTGTAGCCTTCGCGCCGG